ATATCTCGGAAAAATCGGGAAGTGGGTCAAAACTGACCAGTTGTATTTCCCTATATAATCTTTGTATTTTATGGGAAAAACAGAGGGTCATTTCAACGCAGGCTTTAGGGTACTTAAACTCAGTATATCTGGCTAAATGTTTGCATACTCTTAGGTCAATGGCTTGACCTTTAGGGAAAACTGTCGGTTTCACTCAAAGCCCTCGACGAGGGCTGAAAAGTGACCGCGAGTGAAATTCTGTTTATATGAGCTCTATTACGAAAAAAAATTTCCTCCGACGACCCCCCTTGAAATTTTGTGAGGTGGTAGGAGAACGCCTTGGAGTGTCACAAAAAACTCGCCATGTCCGGGAAAAATCGGGAAATGGGTCAAAACTGACCAGTCGTATTTCCCTATATAATCTTTGTATTTTATGGGAAAAACAGAGGGTCATTTCAACGCAGGCTTTAGGGTACTTAAACTCAGTATATCTGGCTATTTTTTTGCATACTCTTAGGTCAATGGCTTGACCTTTAGGGAAAACTGTCGGTTTCACTCAAAGCCCTCGACGAGGGCTAAAATGTGACCGCGAGTGAAATTCTCTATATATGAGCGCTATTACGAAAAAAAATTTCCTCCGACGACCCCCCTTGAAATTTTGTGAGGTGGTAGGAGAACGCCTTGGGGTGTCAAAAAAAACTCGGCATGTCTCGGAAAAATCGGGAAGTGGGTCAAAACTGACCAGTTGTATTTCCCTATATAATCTTTGTATTTTATGGGAAAAACAGAGGGTCATTTCAACGCAGGCTTTAGGGTACTTAAACTCAGTATATCTGGCTAAATGTTTGCATACTCTTAGGTCAATGGCTTGACCTTTAGGGAAAACTGTCGGTTTCACTCAAAGCCCTCGACGAGGGCTGAAAAGTGACCGCGAGTGAAATTCTGTTTATATGAGCTCTATTACGAAAAAAAATTTCCTCCGACGACCCCCCTTGAAATTTTGTGAGGTGGTAGGAGAACGCCTTGGGGTGTCACAAAAAACTCGCCATGTCCGGGAAAAATCGGGAAATGGGTCAAAACTGACCAGTCGTATTTCCCTATATAATCTTTGTATTTTATGGGAAAAACAGAGGGTCATTTCAACGCAGGCTTTAGGGTACTTAAACTCAGTATATCTGGCTATTTTTTTGCATACTCTTAGGTCAATGGCTTGACCTTTAGGGAAAACTGTCGGTTTCACTCAAAGCCCTCGACGAGGGCTAAAATGTGACCGCGAGTGAAATTCTCTATATATGAGCGCTATTACGAAAAAAAATTTCCTCCGACGACCCCCCTTGAAATTTTGTGAGGTGGTAGGAGAACGCCTTGGGGTGTCACAAAAAACTCGGCATATCTGGGAAAACTTCGTAAAGCGGTCAAAACTGACCAGTTGTATTTCCCTATATAATCTTTGTATTTTATTGGAAAAACAGAGGGTCATTTCAACGCAGGCTTTAGGGTACTTAAACTCAGTATATCTGGCAAAATTTTTGCATACTCTTAGGTCAATGGCTTGACCTTTAGGGAAAACTGTCGGTTTCACTCAAAGCCCTCGACGAGGGCTAAAATGTGACCGCGAGTGAAATTCTCTTTATATGAGCTCTATTACGAAAAAAAATTTCCTCCGACGACCCCCCTTGATATTTTGTGAGGTGGTAGGAGAACGCCTTGGGGTGTCACAAAAAACTCGGCATATCTGGGAAAACTTCGTAAAGGGGTCAAAACTGACCAGTCGTATTTCCCTATATAATCTTTGTATTTTATGGAAAAAAACAGGGTAATTTCAACACAATTTTTACGTTACTTAACCTCTGTACACCATGCTAATGTTTTGCATACACTTCTATAGATGACTAGGCCGTATGGAAAAACTGTTGGTCAGACTCAAAGCCCTCGACCAGTGCTAAAAGATGACCGCGAGTGAAATTCTCCTTATATGAGATATATATAAATAATTTGACGATCGATCCCGTTAATATTATTTGAGGTCGTAGACCGACCCTGGAGGGTAACAAAAAAACTTTAATCCCGTCGGAAAAAGCTATTGTAGTCGTTAAATATGTTTATATATCGTATTTTCTTATATTAGCATAGTAACTGTTTTTAAAAAAAAGTAAACACAGACATACGTCATTCGGTTAATTTTCAAGGGAGGTAACCTTTTTAAATAATTATTTTTCAAATAATTGTATACTATTTTAAACAGAAACAGAAAACGACAAAGTATAGCATTTGTTTTAGATAAAAATAAGTTATTAATTAAGCTACGTATCATAATTAAATAAAAAGTTAATTTTAAAAGTCAATGTAATATAAATTATGAGATATACTGTTCATGGAACCTCTGTAGTTCTATTTCCATCTTAGTTATAAATTGCGTACTTTCGAACACTTTCTCTGAATGCTGATGTTAAAGAGCATAGGCCTACAACATCTTCTCTAAAATTAGCATTACTGTTTACATTTAAGCACTCCACGCCTCATCCATCACCTAATAATTACTATTCAAATTATCAAATGTTTTTGAAAACCTAAGCGAAGCTAGGCAGTATGCCTAGTCTATATATATAAAGCAAAGTGGTCGGGTGCCCGATAGGGCACTTCCCGGCGCCGCAGGCGCGTCAAATTTGGCACGAAGGTTCCTTATGGCGATAGAACACGAGGGCCGGTGACGGTTCGGCAAAAAGTCTACGGAGAGGGGGTCAAAACTGACCTCGACTAACCGGTGCCTTATATGGGCTATATTACGAAAAAAAAAATTCCTCCGACGACCCCCCTTGAAATTTTGTGAGGTGGTAGGAGAACACCTTGGGGTGTCACAAAAAACTCGGCATATCTGGGAAAACTTCGTAAAGGGGTCAAAACTGACCAGTTGTATTTCCCTATATAATCTTTGTATTTTATGGGAAAAACAGAGGGTCATTTCAACGCAGACTTTAGGGTACTTAAGCTCAGTATATCTGGCTAATTTTTTGCATGCTCCTAGGTCAATGGCTTGACCTTTAGGGAAAACTGTCGGTTACACTCAAAGCCCTCGACGAGGGCTAAAAAGTGACCGCGAGTGAAATTCTCTTTATATGAGCTCTATTACGAAAAAAAAATTCCTCCGACGACCCCCCTTGAAATTTTGTGAGGTGGTCTGAGAACACCTTGGGGTGTCACAAAAAACTCGGCATATCTGGGAAAACTTCGTAAAGGGGTCAAAACTGACCAGTTGTATTTCCCTATATAATCTTTGTATTTTATGGGAAAAACAGAGGGTCATTTCAACGCAGACTTTAGGGTACTTAAGCTCAGTATATCTGGCTAATTTTTTGCATGCTCTTAGGTCAATGGCTTGACCTTTAGGGAAAACTGTCGGTTACACTCAAAGCCCTCGACGAGGGCTAAAAAGTGACCGCAAGTGAAATTCTCTTTATATGAGCTCTATTACGAAAAAAAAATTCCTCCGACGACCCCCCTTGAAATTTTGTGAGGTGGTAGAAGAACACCTTGGGGTGTCACAAAAAACTCGGCATATCTGGGAAAACTTCGTAAAGCGGTCAAAACTGACCAGTTGTATTTCCCTATATAATCTTTGTATTTTATGGGAAAAACAGAGGGTCATTTCAACGCAGACTTTAGGGTACTTAAACTCAGTATATCTGGCTAATTTTTTGCATGCTCCTAGGACAATGGCTTGACCTTTAGGGAAAACTGTCGGTTACACTCAAAGCCCTCGACGAGGGCTAAAAAGTGACCGCGAGTGAAATTCTCTTCATATGAGCTCTATTACGAAAAAAAATTTCCTCCGACGACCCCCCTTGATATTTTGTGAGGTGGTAGAAGAACACCTAGGGGTGTCACAAAAAACTCGGCATATCTGGGAAAACTTTGTAAAGCGGTCAAAACTGACCAGTTGTATTTCCCTATATAATCTTTGTATTTTATGGGAAAAACAGAGGGTCATTTCAACGCAGACTTTAGGGTACTTAAGCTCAGTATATCTGGCTAATTTTTTGCATACACTACTATAGATGACTAGGCCGTATTGAAAAACTGTTGGTCAGACTCAAAGCCCTCGACGAGGGCTAAAAGATGATCTTGAGTGAAATTCTCCTTATATGAGATATATATATATATACATAAATTGACGAACGATCCCATTAATATTATGTGACGTCGTAGACCGACCCTGGAGGCTAACAAAAAAACTTTAATCCCGTCGGAAACAGCCATTATAGTTGCTAAATATGTTCATATACCGTAATTTCTTATATAAGCATAGCAACTGTTTGTAAAAAAAAAAACAAAGACATACGTCATACGTTCAGTTTTCAAGGGAGGTAACGTTTTTTAAATTATTATTTTTCAAATAATTGAATACTATTTTAAACAGAAACAGAAAATGACGATGTATAGCATTTGTTTTAGTACAAAATTAAGTTGTTAATTTAGTTACGTATCCCAATTAAATAAATAAATAAATTTCAAAAGGCAATGTAATAAAAACTATGAGATGTACTGTTCATGGAAGCTGTGTAGTTCTAATTCCATTTTACTTATAGATTGCGTACTTTCCGATATTTCTCTGCGAACGGTATTTAAATGACAAACTAAAACATTTTTTTTCTAAAGTTAGCATTACTGTTTAAATTAAAGCACTCAACACCAAATCCATCGCTAAATAATTAAGTATTCAAATTCTCAAATGTTATTTAAAAACCTAAGCGAAGCTAGGCAGTATGCCTAGTATATATATATACATATATATATCAGTGGCCATCGATATATGTCAGTAGCGATTGACAGATAAATATGATAATCAGCAGCCATATGCCAGTTGATGCGCCAACCAAACCCATCCCCCTACGACCAAGTGCACCTGACCATGGGGTCGCCGCCCCTGATGCCACTTGACTCATTCAGGCCGGGAGAAACTTCCGTCCTGAAGCCCCGACCGCCATCTTCACATCGCCACATCTTCATCAATGAATCGCAGTTTTCAGCGATCATTCAACCCCAGCCCTCAGTGATGGACCACCACCGTCAGCACCACTAGACCACAACCACCATCACGTGATGACCGTGTTTACCCTGAGGTTGGCACCACGACCATGCTGGGTCTAAGATTTGGCTACAGTCTCTCCAGTGCCAACAAAGACCGACTCAACCAGCCCTGAACTTTGATGGTTCACAAAGAAAACGTTCACCACACACAACATGATACGGTTTGGACTAAAACATTTCTGTTTCATTTGGTTCAGTTTGGGGATTTTGATCAAGGTGAGATACTGGACTTGTTCATTATTTTTTCTTTAAATTTAAAAGTTGGATAAACTGAGTGTTGATTAGAGTATAAGCATATGTTGTTTAAATATTAGACAAAAGAGGAGCCTAAATTTGACTAAATATTAGCCGAAGGTGGAGACTAAATTTGACTAAATATTAGACAAAAGAGGAGCCTAAATTTGACTAAATATTAGCCAAAGGTGGAGACTAAATTTGACTAAATATTATCCAAAGGTGGAGCCTAAATTTGACTAAATATTAGCCAAAGGTGGCGACTAAATTCGACTAAATATTAGCCAAAGGCGGAGCCTAAAATTTACTGTAAAATTTATTTTATGATCATAACGTAACAAAAAAGCAGCATATCGTCCTTCTCAATTTATGATTGAAAAATGGACAGCATTAGCGCCATTAACGTAACTACACACAGGTGGTATGGTGTGATATTGAGGTGATAATGTATTGTACAATCGAGGCCAAATTCTTATCCATAAACTTTTAGGCCAAATACTAATCACTAAATTATTAGATCACTTTTTTTTTCACGCCTTGAAAGTAATCTAAAATGTACTGTTATCACATACTTCTATTAGATAATAAATTGTAGGATATAGTTATCACATACTACTATTAGATAATAAATTGTAGCTGCAGTGTGGTGTATGAGGGTATAAGTGATAATAAAACATATATCATTAGCATTCTCACGCATGGCAGGTATACCTTGTAATTGTCATAAGAATTTTATGCCAATTAACTATCGCTTTACCAAACTTATTTAATGCGTCTAGCATTTTTATATATCCACCAATCTTAGGGCTTTAAAAATTAATAAAATGAATATGGTAATCACATACGGCTATCATCACATCTACCATATTAGCAATAATTTAACAAGACCATAGTTAACCTGCATTAAGTAATGTTTAATTTAAAAAATACGTCTATGTTCATCACGAGTTAGATTCAGATAGAAGTCACCAGTTTGTTGTATGCCGTGTTGTATTCAAATGTTCAAACACCAGCGTATTAATTACACCAAATACGGTACACAGTCTTGGAGTAGTTAGTGGCATCCGGTTTGTTTAATGAGAGGCTCCCAATCATTAGTTGACATGCATGAAAAACTTGTTTTTGTCATGTTGGCCTTCGTTGTGGCCCATTGTGGCCCAGTGTGGCCCGTTGTGGCCCATTGTGGCCCAGTGTGGCCCGTTATAGCCCATTGTGGCCCATTGTGGCCCCTTGTGGCCGTAAAAAGCAACAACTGAAGCTGAAAAAAAATCACAAATTTTATATTTTAGCTATCAATGTTTAAACGAAGAATACAATTTTTTGCGTTTAAAGCTACATTTCTGTTTACTTATATCAAAACGACCTTACAACTGAAGTTTTAGTAAGACAAACTTTGGTTTAATTTATTTTCTGGAGCCACCATTATTTTAAATAAACCATTTCCATGTAAAACTTTAAAATAAATGTATCATTTTGAACTAGATGCGCCATGTTTCTTTAACAATTTTTTCCACGAAAAAAAATGTTTCCTTAAATTTTGTTTAGTTATCAAAAATTCTAAAAACATGAAATACCCTTAAACTTCAGAAAAGTAATAGAAAAAATACACGTTAGAATTTTCCTAACAGAACACGATTTTTAAAATAAAAAGTAGCAGCCATTAGTACGAAAGACGCAGTTAAAGTTAAGAATAAAGTCGAACGTCTATTTACAGTGGTTTTACATTAAGTTTTGTAATATGTCTTTGGTGTCGTTTGTAAATAATGTCAGTTTTTAGTAAAATTTTACCCCCATCCCTACTCCACCCCACCCCCGTCACAATCCTCACAAAAACGTCAGAGAATCCAACCCGAAACAAAGAACACATCCGAGTTATTTTTGGAAACACCTAATAAGGGAAGTAACAATACATTTCTTTTGAAAGGTACACAACTATTGTAATGCTAGTATTACATCAGCAACATGATAAACATCATCAAATAATAGGTTTAGCAATATCTTGTGTGAGGTTATCAAGCAGAGATGTGTACTCATCTACAAAAAATATAAAAGCTAGTGTTAAAAAGATATAACAAAACCTAAGTACATATATATAAACCTAGTTGCTAATATGTAACAAAAACAAAATCAATGTATTGGATCTACTGTTAAAAAAGCTAGCCCATAAAACAACTAAGTTTTAGACCAAATATCATGAAGACCAAACAAAAATATCGTTTAATTAGGTAAGATGTAAACTAAAATATTTTTTAAATAATGTGAATGACATGTTTTTAGAATATTGTTTGTTTTGTTTGTTTAAATTGCTTTCAATGACTGCTCAGTTTATGTAGGTGTTGCAACTGTGAGAATGAGAGTGTGTATGATGAATAGGAGGGGGATGTGTGCTTCAGTTGTACATTTGGTAAGAGTGTGGGTTGGGGGTGATTGAGGTGTTATATTGAGCACTTGTATTTAAAATTAAAACAGATGTTTTTCCCCACTTAAATTTAAAGGTTAATCCCGCTAGCGCGATAATCCAATGGACACCAAAACCCAGGCCAGTAGCGTCTAGCACTGACCCAATGACGTCATCAGTTCCACGTAACCTTCGACCAGCAGCACCACCAAGACCACCGCAGCCAACAGATGTAAGACCTATTCCCACGCCGGGTCCTGGATCTAGAACCAGCGTTTCCATGACAACGCGTTCTACGACAACCACCCAGCTGCCAGCTACTCCAGAGGTCGAGCTCCCATGGAGCACAGACCTGCCGCCTGACGCTGAGACAACCACAGAGATCTTGTTTAAGTCTAACCCCTGGGGCACGATAGACTACAGCGCCGTGCCCCTGCTGGAAGAAGAGAGGGACATTCCGAGCGAATCTTCCGAGGTCTTTTCGGTGGGCAGTGATGTCGACAGCTTTAGGAAAGATGCCGGAACAGTTAGCAATGATAAAGGGGAGTTTACTGAGACTTTACCGGATGAAGGAAATCCAGTTGTTGAGGCATCACTGCCTGACATTTCTGGAAAAGAATTTAAGAAAGATCTGAATGTGGAACCTGACACGTCGAGTGTGAGCCTGGACACACCGACCGGGTACCATGACACATCTACTGTGTACGGTGTTGCGTCAACTACACATGCTGACACACCTACCAAAAGTACTATGACATCCTCAGCTTACTCTGAGTTACCCGTGGATACTAGATCACCCACAGTAACTTTGTCTAATGGTGGGAGCGTAGCGAAACAAACGAATTTGGGCACAGACAAATCCACTACGACAAGCTACAGCAGAACTGCCATTTCTAGCACCGCGTCAAGCACAAGAGAAACGTCTATAACGTCATCAACTGCCACAAAAATCGACACTACTCTACATTCAACAAGAGCAAAACCTTCTGAAACTCTCCACCCGGATCCTAGTGGTACACCACCACAAGATTCAACAGCATCAACAACTTCAGCTGTAGCACCAACATCCGAGTCTAGCCACACAGACACCCCGCGTAGGACACCACACTCCACGCCTCCAACCACGCCAGACTCTCACGCTCACCTAGCTACAGACACCACGCTTAAAACACCCCGCATTTCTCCTGCCACCTCCGCGAGCACGCTCGTCACCTCCGGCACCCCACCCTCCTCACATAGCAGCACTCTATCAGCACCCAGCACCACTCGTACGTCAGCACCTCCTACCTTAACTAGTTCCACCAAGCCTCAAGACTCCAGCAGCCAATCAGCAACGCCAAGACAAACCTCATCAGGTATTGTTCATCCCACCACACTCAGCCAATCAAATCTTGATTCTCTCACCAAGGCACCCTTTACCACTCAATCTACAGAAGTTGCACCTACCTCCACGCTCTCTCCAAAAACTAATTTGCAAATAACGCAAAACAAACATGTACAAACACATGAAAACAAAGTATACAACACAGCAGCACCAGTACCAAACAACACAACATCACCAACAACTGATAATTTATATCTATCTAATTCTTACAACTCAACTTCACCAAGAACTAAAACCGACCATGCGACGTTAATGAAATCTAACAGTTTTAAACCAAACACGGACGTTAACTTCCCAACAACATTCGAAACGACGGTTGTGTCAACACCAATGTCCTCTCTCATCCCAAGTGAAATCCCAAGAGAACTCACCAATAGCGTACACGATAGACAAAGACTACAGTCTGAGCATACGACACACAGCGCTGAACTGACTGCACTCACCGACAAGACTAGCATAGCACCTGTCTCAGGCAACACCCAGAGAACAGTAGCACCTGTCTTAGACACAAGTAAGGCCACAATAGCACCTGTCTTAGACACAAGTACAGCCACAATTGGACTTTTCTCTGACACCACCCTGAAAACAAAACCGATCTCACTTGGCACTGATCCCAACCACATCACATCCAAGACATTGGACAGTGTAAGCCCTGACCCAAGCAGTTTTCTGATCACCGTGTCGTCTCCATTAATTACCCGGCCCTTCGATAAAGCTAAATTCGCGACGTCACGTGATTACCAACACGGCTCAACATACACCTCTAACCTCAACACGTATACACTTCCCAAGGCCACAACTGGCCAACGCGTTAAAATAACCGCTGCTCTTCCAACCAAAGAAACCAGTGATAATACTTTAATTACGACCCCTGCTTCAAGTAACTCCACTAAAATCACCACCCCCAATCAATTCACGTGGGGTTATAATAAAAATACAAGAATTGAAGAACCCACTTCATCTAAGACAACTAACAAGCTTAACGCTAGCACCAATACCACACTTGTAGCATCCACCTCCAGTAAAACCACTGCATCCAATCCAAGCACAATAACGCAAGTACCTACCTCAAACATTATCTCCCCACAAGTCTCACAGAGTAGCGGGACTTGGCATAAAGTCTTTACCCCAAGCCCTGACGTCATCACCAGAGCGACACCAAGCCCAGCCACTAGAGTTACCTCGTCTAAAGCAACCAACACATCTACCACACCCACACAAAGTATACAAACCACACCTACATCCACGACCACATCACAACCACACGTCTCTATCACCACTAAACCACCCACCACTACCTCAGCACCATCTAGCACCAGTAGCACCACAGAAAGCACCTTGCACGTCTCTAGTCCCTCGTCTCTATCAACCAGTACTACAACACTTGCAGCTTCAACTTTCATTACAACACCACCAACACCGCTCACAACAACAGCATCAACAGTACCGACTACAACATCATTAACCGAAATACCCACATCATCCACAACAGCATCATTGAAAGTTATACAAAAAACAACACCTCCGAAATCCTCAGTAGCTATATCGACCTCATCAATATCGACACTTTCATCTACAACATCATCAACAATTTACCTTACGACAACATTAAGTTTACAATCACAAACGTCAGCATTAACATCCACGCCATCTGTTATATCGTCAACTTTACCACCTTCATCAACATTACCAACTTTATCACCATCAACAGTATCATCTACACCATCTTTACCAACTCAAGAAACATCAGCACAAACGATTTCGTCACCATCTGTAGAGACATCTACAACGATACCAAAAACGACAGCAACATCGTCAGTAACAACTGAAACGACATCACCAACTACTTCTCCGCCAACAACCACATCAGCACCAGCAACAAATACATCAGCAGCGACAACAACAGCGGCAACGATGTCAGCCCCTACAACATCACTAACAACATTGCCACCACAAGCAGGAATAACTTTATCGACAACTTCATCAACGACATCAACACCAATATCCAGTACATCAGCATTAACTACACCAACGACAACACCAATGTTGTTAGAAACGACATCATCAATAACTTCACCTACAACAACTTCATCGACGTCAGCAATGAAAACCTCAACACTATCAACAATAACACCATCAACGACACCATCAACGACGCCCTCAACAATATCATCAATGACACCATCCACAATGAGACCATCTTCAACAACACCATCAACGACGCCATCTACAATATCACCACTGCCACCATCAACAACGAAACGATCAACAACGAAACCATCAACAACAACACCATCAACAACACCAACACCAACGACGAAATCAACAACATCACCAATGACATCATCATCACCATCAACAACACAATCAACACCAACACCACCAACAACACCAACAACATCATCAACACCAACAACACCAACAACACCAACAACATCATCAACACCAACAACACCAACAACACCAACAACATCAACAACACCAACAACACCAACAACACCAACAACACCAACAACACCATCAACGCCAGCGACACCCCCAACACCCGCCCCATCAACCGCTCAACCCAGCCTGTCTACCAGAGCCACCACTGGCGCTCCAACCTTGCCCACATCATCACCATCACCATCGTCATCATCAACAGATACCACAACCATTCGCCCAACAACTCCCACCAGTCTAGGCGGCAAATGCCAGCAGGACCCAAGCGCATGCGCAAAGGCCATCGAGGGCAGTGAATGCGTCAACAACACGTGCGTGTGCACATGGGATCGATACCAGTCACCTAGCGGTAACTGCTCCACGTGTAAGTAAATAAAAACTTCGATTACAAGTACAACAATTCAAGGTTCAATTTAAGGATAATTTTTTTTTAGAAATATCGGCAATTTAATTATCTGATTAGATTATAATTACATCTTGATATCTAACATAAAATGCCTGCACTCTTATGTAAAACGCCTGAGTTGTAAGATAGCGTCTGTTTTACTAAAGTCAGCATTGTTTTAGTAGAATATTTTGTATCATTTTTTTTACCTTCAGACACACAAGATGACAGACAAATTCCCACCGTCATACAAAGGTCGTCAAGGAATGTCAGTCTGTCATGGCCGTCCAGCAAATCGTACCCGGATGCTCGCGTGTCCTACAACGTCACGTGGTCTGCGCTCGACGGCGGTGACGTCAGAGATCGCCTCGTGGACACCAGTGACGTCACCATCGTTGATTTGAAGCCTGGGACCTGGTACAAGGTCAGGGTGACCTTGGTGCTGAAACCAGACAGGGGTGCTGGCAGGGTGCTGATGTTTGACATGCAGGCGGTGGTGACCAACACAGGTAAACATTGACACGTGGCGACATTTACACGTGGCAACGTTGACACGTGGGAACCTTGACATTTGACAACACTGACACTGTCAGTAATGAACCGGTAAACGTTTACATTGGCACATGGTCATAAGTTAAAACAGGCGTTAAAACAAAAAATCTTTTACCATGCCGTACACAGAAAACATAAAGAATAAAAATTAAACCAGATACAACATAAAAAACACAAAAAAAAGCAATTCACACAGGCTAGCTAGAACGTATACATCTCAACATTCATGGCTCAATTTGAAATGCTACAACACGGACAGACAAATGCTCTGTAAATTTGAAACACATTGTTGACGTCACACAATTAACCTTCAGCTGACCACATGTTAAAGACCTGTTATTGACCAACTGTTATAGACCTGCAATTGGACACCTATTATTGAACATCTGTTATAGACCGTTTGTTGACCACCTGTCATAGACCTGTTATTAACCACCTCTTATAGACCTGTTATTAACCACCTGTTATTGACCACCTGTTATTAACCACCTGTTATTGACCACCTGTTATTGACCACCTGCTATTGACCACCTGTTATTGACCACCTCTTATAGACCTGTCATTGACCACCTGTTATTGACCACCTGTTATTGACCACCTGTTATAGACCTGTTATTGACCACCTGTTATACACCTGTTGTTGACCATCTATTATAAACCTGTAATAGACCAACTGTTATTGACCTGTTATTGACCACCTGTTATTGACCTGTTATTGACCACCTGTTATACACCTGTTATTGACCACCTGTTATTGACCTGTTATTGACCACCTGTTATTGACCTGTTATTGACCACCTGTTATACACCTGTTATTGACCACCTGTTATTGACCTGTTATTGACCACCTGTTATTGACCTGTTATTTACCTGTTATTGACCACCTGTTATTGACCTGTTATTGACCTGTTATTGACCACCTGTTATTGACCACCTGCTGTTGATCACCTGTTATAGACCCGTTGCAGACGACCGATTTCTATCCCACAGCACCACCAGACGTTGGACCCATGACGTCACCAGTGCCGCTGCCAGACAGCACCATCGTGACGTTTGCGGCACCAGACGGCAACTTCAGCTACTGCAGCGCCAACATCACCGAGATTGACGTGTTCCATCGTACTGTGTACGTCCATTTATACTTATGGGGTGGGGGAGGGGGAGGCTGGTTGTCAGAATTTTTTGCGATAAAGTTAGTGTGGTTCAGTTGGGGATAGGTGGTAAAATACGAAATTTAAATAAAATGAACACTTGTTTTGTACTGAACGGAAGAAAAAGAAAATACAAATTACCACAGATAATAATAACAGTTGCTATTTATTAAAAAAAAACCGGGTATAAAACAATGTCTTTACGGTGCTATACTTGTGTGTATGGTGCTATACCGGTATGTAGGGTGCTATACCTTTGTACGGTGCTATACGTGGGGTGTACGGTACTATACGTGGTGTGTACGGTGCTATACCTTTGTACGGTGCTATACGTGGGGTGTACGGTGCTATACGTGGTGTGTACGGTGCTATACCTTTGTACGGTGCTATACGTGGGGTGTACGGTGCTATACCAGTGTACAGTGCTATATAATACATGTGTGTACGGTGTTATACATGAGTGTATGGTGCTATACCTGAGTGTACGGTGCTATACCTGTCTGCACGGTGCTATAGTTGTGTGAATAGTGCTATACCCGCCACACTTGTGTACAGCGTTTTATCTATATCTAAGGAGAAAAACATGTACATGGTGCTATAACTGTCAGACATGTACATGGTGCTATATCTGTCCACTACAGGTGCCACAAGGCCAACAACCACACGTTCAACTGTACTCACCTACAACTGGACCATGTGAAGCCAGCCATGAACTACAACATCACCATTTCTGTGCTGTTGTTTGGATCCCACAACCTCGAGTCTAGCAGGCCTGTGGGGTATCAAGTCTTCACACGGTGTCAAGGTAAATTGGTGTCCGTCTATTTGTGTTAGGTATTAAGTCAGCACACAGTGTCAAGGTAAGTTGGTGCCTGTCTATTTGTGTGGGGTATAAAGTCAGCACACGGTGTCAAGGTAAGTTGGTGCCCGTCTATTTGTGTGGGGTATAAAGTCAGCACACGGTGTCAAGGTAAGTTGGTGCCCGTCTATTTGTGTGGGGTATAAAGTCAACACACGGTGTCAAGGTAAGTTGGTGTCCGTCTATTTGAACTCCTACAGGCAATAACTTTTGCCTCAGCTTTTGTAAGGTGCTCTATACACGTCCACAACTGTTTTCTTTTTCTAAGCTCTAACATAAAAAAAAGATAGTAAACATCAATTTTCTTTAACTATGGTTGGTCGATGTTTGTTTTTTCTTGCCTAAATTTGTATTTAAATATTCTAAAATCTATAACAGTATCAGGTGGTGTTCAAAATTTGTTAGAAATCTGCACATACAATCTAATATTTAAATGTGAAATTTTGTTCACTTAACATAAACGGTAATCAAGTTATCGGCTTTTGGGTAACAGAAAATACAGAAAATAGCCCAAAAGTTGATAGAGAACTAGATATTTCATAACATACTTATAATTGAAATTTCGTGAACATTTCTAAAACGTTCCTCAAGTTATGGTGTTCACAGACACACACACATACAAAAAGACACACAGACATGCAGACAAATTTGCAAAAAAATAAGTTTTTCCGACTCAGGGAGGTGTAAAACTTCGACATTTGTTAAAATCTCGACTACCATAGTTTGGACGATTACAATACTTACTATATACTTTGTATATGAGAAAGTAAAAACGAAGCAACAGACTTGAATCGAAGCTTAACTCTGACCACCCCACATTATTTCAGATCCTGGACCTGTTCGAAATCTGACGTCTGCTAGTGTCACCAGCAACTCGGTGACCTTGACCTGGCTTCCACCTGCTCAAGGTCACACCACGACCTACCAGCTCAAGGTCAATGCCACACTGACCACCTGTCTGGACACGTATGGAAACGTCTTGAGCTGCAACAAAGACAAGTCGGTGCTGGTGGGTAGCAGACGTTTGTGATGTGTCAAGTGGTCTCTCACGTGACTTTAGTTCATATATCGTCACGTGACTGCAGGAGCGTAGCGAGGGGGGAGGCGGGGGGTGCGGACCGCGCCGGGTGACACCATTTAGGGGGGTGACTCCAAGGCAAAAAATAGCAAGATATATAGAGAAAAACTTGAGGGGGGTGCAAATCGAAAGTTTGAGGGGGGGGGGTGCAAATCGAAAACTTGAGGGGGGGGGTGCAAATCGAAAGTTTGAGGGGGATGTGCAAATCGAAAACTTGAAAGTTTGTCCCCGGGAAGGGTCGCTACGCCTCTGGGGGGTGACACCATTAAGTGCCGCACCTGGTGACACCCGACCTCGCTTACGCCACTGCGTGACTGTTGTATGTGTCTGTTAAAGCTAAGTTTGAATGTCTTGGTCTGGTGCATTGTAGATTAACGTTAAATGAGTAGCTACATGACAGAAAACATTAAACATACGAATATAACGTAAAAAAATAGCACATAAATAACACTCAAATACGTGTACATATTACTCAAGCAACTAATTTTACCTAACTTAAAACACTACTCATCAACTCAACACCTACTATAGGGCTAGTAAGTGGTTCACCAACCAGTTCTATAGCTCATACAGGTTTTATTGAGCCGTAGAACTGGTTGGTGACCTACTTACCAGCCCTATTCTGATACCCACCAACACAAGCCACATCTTGAACTTCAGTCATGAACACACTGAACCCTAACCTCCGAACCCTAACCTCTGAACCCTAACCTCTGAACCCTAACCTCCTCCATAGGAACTAGACGACCGTGTGACGTGTGACACGATCCAAGAACACGTGACCCAGCTGAGCTACACGATTGATTCCCTCAACACAGCGAGCCCCTACGCCATTGAGCTGGTGCCCTACAGCGACAGCTGCACGGGCGCCAGCAGCCATCTTAATATCACCACGTCATCGGCTGGTGAGTATCCATGGCAACAGACCCGAGTGGACTGCGCTTCTAAGCTTATAGCCCATAGCAGCTACTTAAAATAGCGATACATTCACTTGTCGGTTGTACAAGCACTGAGGTCGTATGGCAGAGGGTGGGGGTGGAGGGGGGGGGGGGGTTGGAGGTTGAGTTGTGGACTGCACCGGTTGATACTATTCAAGGCTGGGTCACCAAAACAAAATCTAGCTAAATTTAATGAGAAAGTCAGTTTTTCCAGTTTTTAAAATAACTTCTTAAGTTCAAATACATTTTTAGGCACAAGGTCAAACCATTAGGGATGGGGTGACACCAAAGTCCCTATAACTTTACATCATATAAGTCATTAGATCAAGGACACTGTAAGTTATCGCATCGGGTGTTACCCAGATATATGTTACATTATGTTTAAGTTTAGCTACATCGGTTTATATTATTTTTAAATGTATATATACACTTTGTTGACGTTCCACCCAAAAACATAAACGTTACATATAATTCCTGTATGTTCCACCCAATGACGTAAAGCGGAAGAGGGAATATGTATGAGAAAGATGCTGACCTTAAACTACAGGAGACCATTGATTTGTGTCTTTTCTTATACTTTCAGTGCCAGGAACTCCCCAAAACCTGAAGGTCGTGATGACCGTGACCCAGATGTTCATCAGCTGGACACCGCCCGTCCCCTACCCTGGCCCCACCAATTACGTCATCACGCTTGTATCATTAGTTAGGAATGAAACCGTCAAACGGAGATACAACGTTACAGGTATATTTTCATCTTGTACTTTTCAACCTCCGACTTTTCAACATTTTACAGCATTTCAGCATCTAACTTTTCAACATTTTACGTAGCAAAACGGTGTACTCTTCAGCTTGTTTACATTTTATTAACGAGATAATATCCAACTTATTTAACAATTTTGGAACAATATCCGGGTACAACAGCACATTTATATAATTCTACGTTAACATGTCAACATTTTCTTTAAGGAATTCTTAAATAATGTAGATTTATACACAATAAAACAGATCAATAAATGCTCAATCACATCTTCTTTTTTTATAACAACTTCGAAAATCAATTATTTCCTTGACGGAAAATCCAATGAAAGTGATAGTTGAGGATGTTATATTTATAGAGCCAAACTACATAATAAGCAGCCCTTGGTTGTTGGATAAAAACTAGTACTTGTAAACGTTGATTTTATAACATAAGTATGTGTCTCATGAGGGTCTCATTAAATTGAATCGAAACTGAGACTTTTCGCCCGCGCTATATTATAGTTCTCGGGTTTTGTAATCAGAATAGTTCCTCGCAGTTTTTTTGTTTGTGTTCCCAACATGTTCCCTGCCGTTCCCCAGGATACACCAGTACCAGAAGAGACATCAACCACCTGGAGCCTTACACCGTGTACAACATGTCTATCCTAGCCTACACAGCGGCCGGACGGTCAAGTCCTTCTACACCCGGGAGTTACCGCACCTTGCCGGCCAGTAAGTTCTAGTAGTCATGATGGCGTGGTCTAGCGATAGACCCCTAGCTTGTTAACTTGTAAGTCACGAGTTCAAAACTGAACTACCCCTCTAAACCAGGTGTGGTGGACTGGGGTAGGTATACAGGCATATACCTGACGGTGTAATGTTAAATGCTAGTTACCCTGGCTAATGAGATTAGTTTGAGCCGGTAATGAATGTTTCTTGATGTGGATGACGAGTTCGGTGACCGGGTTCAAAATGGCACTTGCAGGTCGTCACCAGAACCATGTGTCTCTACTGCCCCCCCCCCCCCCACTAGTTGGTGCGGTACCGTAAAGCTTGTGGGTGACAACAAGCAGCAGTCACGGCTCAGGCTACATGCGTGCCGGGCATTATGGGATATGCCGGGCATTATGGGATATGCCGGGCATTATGGGATATGCCGGAAATTATGGGATATGCCGGGCATTATGGGATATGCCGGACATTATGGGATATGCCGGATATTATGGGATATGCCGGGCATTATGGGATATGCCGGGCATTATGGGATATGCCGGACATTATGGGATATGCCGGACATTATGGGATATGCCGGGCATTATGGGATAAGCCGGGCATTATGGGATATGCCGGGCATTATGGGATATGCCGGACATTATGGGATATGCCGGACATTATGGGATATGCCGGGCATTATGGGATATGCCGGGCATTATGGGATATGCCGGACATTATGGGATATGCCGGGCATTATGGGATATGCCGGACATTATGGGATATGCCGGACATTATGGGATATGCCGGACATTATGGGATATGCCGGACATTATGGGATATGTCCCAACACGTCCTTCAGCTGCTTTACTGATTATGCTACGTGTGTTGTTATTGGGGAATTGATTTGAAGTGAGAACATGGAACTCGTGGAGGGGATGTAGCATGATTTAGTAAACTTTCTTTCAGTATTGAGAACATTAACTTAACGAATCCATCATTGGTTTGAATATATGAAGCACTTGATACAATTTAAACATAGTCGTCCCTTTAGTTTCCAAACAACTGATAGCCAATGTGTGTTCAGTTGATACGATTCCCCCCCTTTGCCAATTCCTTCCTTGAAATTTATAATTTTCTAATAGAACAGTTCACCATAACGAATGCGCTATTGCTTAATTAACGTAGAAGAAACAAAAATGTTATAATAGGAAATAAATCGAGTTATCTTTTCCTGACCTAGAATCTGACCCCGTCGAGTCCTTGACCGTGACCCAGAGAACCTCACAGAGTCTGGTCCTCACCTGGACGTCACCTGTACTCATCCGAGGTGCCCTGCAGGCTTACGTCATCTTTGTACGAGGCGCGAGGGACACGGCGTGTCAGGCCCTGTACGTCCTGACGTCCAGCGCTAACCTGTCGCAGGTAGTGACCACACACAGGCTGTCAATCAACTTTTCTTCTATCCATCAACTTTTTTTCTCTCCATCAACTTTTCTTCTCTCCATCAACTTTTCTTTTCTCCATCAACTTTTCTTTTCTCCATCAACTTTTCTTTTCTTCATTAACTTTTCTTCACTCCATAAACTTTTCTTCCCTCCTATCAACATTTTTTTCTTCCAATACTTTCGACCATACATTTTATCATTGTATTTATGTTTCATTTTTAATTTAAATTTTCTTACCGATCACACTTGTATAATTGGCTCATATTATTTTAATATTGTTATACAAGTTTTGTTTATCGTCCACATTTGACTCGACTTTTGTATTATACGATGCTTGTTTTTATATCTGTATTTATTCCATTTATTTCTACTTCTCTTTGTATCTATCAACATATTTAATATAAATCCTTCGACACAAAAAAATTAGTCATCTAAATATAAGATGAAAATATCCAGCAATTATAATCATTATAAAAGTTAATTAGTGTAACCAATTACACCCTATCTTAGTCTCTGCTGGACCAAAGCGTCTGCGGCCAACCAACCAACCCAAACATTAGAACCATTGCGGCACTGGATCCTACCATGACCTTTAACCTTACGGGACTCAAACCGTGTGAGACCTACACCGTCACGGTTGTACCAGTCAACGATGTCGGCCTGGGGGTGGCCAAGCAAGTCAGTGAGTCCACGACAGCATCTGGTAGGTTGGGGTTCGATTCCTTTAAATCTCTTGCTTATAGTCTTTGAGTCTGTTAGCTAACAACTTATTAGCACATTTCATTTCTGATTATATACATCAGTCCACTTCAGTTCTTCTGCTGCTTGTATTATTTCATTAAACCTCTATTTTTAATTATGATGAATTTCGCATTTTACCTTTCGTTTTCTTCCATCGCTTACTAGATACTACTTGTAAACAATGAGATTTTTAAATGGCGTGATATGTTCTGTAACGCTAAAATTCCTGATCTTCTTTATAACACACTAACTACTGATCCTATTTGTAACGAAAATCTTCTGTACACTTAAAAATAAATTTCACTTTTCGAAGCTGACGGTACATGAGAATGTGAAGTAGAGTTTACCTGTTTCTGTAACCTCGTCATATGAAGGGATAGTGTTGCCAGCACTTTGCCCAGCTACCTTTACTTTTTCTTAACTTGAGTTGGGTACCCATTAGAGCTGGTTGAACTCAGGAACGTTCTACTAACCTAAACCACTCTATAACAGAATAACTTATACTAACCCCCTTTATATAAAGAGAAATCCCAATTACCCCTTTCATAACAAGTGAACTCCTGACCCCCCCCCCCCTCCCCTATGCCAAGAGAAATAATAATGACCTCATCATTACAAGAAAACTTCTCCTGACCCCTGTATAACAAGAGAACCTCTCCTGACCCCAGTCCCCATAGTCCCAGAAGGTTTCACCTGTGAAGCTGTGACCCAGGGCACCTTGACCCTGACCTGGACGTCGCTGACCCCCCAGCCCTGCCCCGTGGTGTACCAGGTCACCGTTTACCAGTCGCAGACCTTTGACAATGTGATGCAGACTTTCGATCACGTGATCAACGAAACAATCTCAGGTAAAGCTCAGCAACCTTTTTTACAAGCTTTTATTTAGTTCGCTTGTCTGTTTGTTTGTGGGTTTATGGCAAATCTTGTAACTCAATTTTGACCCACTTCTAATGCAGCGATTTCGTTCAATCATTCCAGATATGTTCCACTTCCGTGGCAATACAAGTCTATTTTTTAATTTAATTTGTCGTTAAAAATTAATTGAAACGGTTTTGAAACTAAGGGGAGATAACAAAATTTAATCTCTAGATAGATTTCTATATTCAATAACTAGCTAGCTTTTCGCGGGGCAGATATTCGTCTTTCAGACATCGCGAGCTACTAATGGTGTTTTAAAACACATATTTTTTTCGTCGTGTCGACTTCATAAATTAAGAATCACTAAAAAGTAGAAAATAAAACAAATATAAAAAATAATAGCAACAAGCTTTTAAATATAGTGTAAATAAGAAAATAAAATGTATTTACTTTCTTTAGCAAAAGCTTTGTTCGCTTGTGAGATCTTTTACATATTTTAGAAAAAAAGGTTTTTATTTTCTTATTTTTTAGTGCATTTAAAAGCTTATTTCTATAAAGGTTTTGTTGTTTTACATTTGTTTACTTTACTTAACAACCTTAGAATAATGTTGGACTAGATGTGTATTTATTCTTTTTATAATAAACAAATCTTGTATTTTTTGTTTATTCATCCCCACCTGTAACACGAATATGAAATCCTTACAACCACATATACACACACATATATATATACTGACACAATCCTCCCACCCCACACAGTTACAAAATGCCCCCACAACATATAGACCCTCACACAATAAAACATATACTAATCACACCATCATAACTTCAAAGAAGATATTTTTGTGAAAACCTACTTGGGGCTCTGGATAATGCAGTTTTTTTTTCTCGTTATCGCTGTTAAAGTGAATAACGCATTTCGTTATACACTTTTGCAATTCTTGACTTGGTGTCACCCCATTAAAATCACCCCCCACCTATCCATACACTAGATGGCGTCAACCCCCCCCCCCCCCAATTCACACCCCCCCCCCCCAATTCACCCCCCCCCCCATTAATAATGTCTCCCAATAAACATTGCCACCACAGCCGTGTAACTTAACCTTTGAACTTTTATTCTACATCAGACATCAACAGCGGTTCCATCCTGTTTAAAAACCTAAAGACTTTCTGGCAATACAAGATCGACATCAGCGTCATCTCAGCGGCTGGAAATTCATCAGTTCTCTCCCTTCCATTGATCAGAACCTTGCCAAGTGGTAAATCATTTTTCTTTGATACAACTCGTTTTAACAACGTTCAGTGAATATTTACTTGTTGTTGGAAAAAATAATTTTTAAAACATGTACTTTTGGTAGATTTAATAAAATATACTGCTGTAAATGGAATTTAAAAAAAAAAGAAAATAAACGATACGTTATTGGAATAAAGAAAGTTTAGTTCTGTACCAAATAGTTGTACCAAGTTGACCCAATGTAAGACGTGTTTCCTTTCTTCCTGCAAGCTCCTGGACCTGTGTCAGTGCTGCAGGTCAGGTCCTTCCAGCAGAACCAGGTCTCCGTCGTCTGGAACTGTCCAGCAGACGACCAAAAAAATGGGGAGATCTCAAACTTTTTGCTGATCATGAAGCCAAAGGTATGTCTTCACGTGCCTCAAACAACTCACGTGACTTTATCCAGTCACAACAATCACGAGTCACATAATTCACAACAGCCAAATCAGTCGTCGTGGTCATTTCAATCTTATCAACCCCACGTGATATCAATTACATCTTCAAAATTTACATTTTTTTTTGTTAAATAGATCACGTAGGTTACAAATTATCAAACATTTAGTGAGATAAATAAAAATAATAAAAATTCCACACATTTTTGGATATTTGTTTCTGCTAAATCCCACATATTTAGATAAATAAAAATCCAGATAAGTACACACGTTTTTGTTAGGATATAAAAGGCTACGAAAGCTTACAGGATTTATTGTCTGGCTGCTGTCACATGCTTTTCCCGAATTCCAGAAAATTCTCAGACAAGACAAGAGCGCAGACTTCATCAAGACCAGCAACATGACAGTACAGGCCCAGCAGGAACAGCCCAACAGCTGTAGCACGCGCAACAGCTTCTGCAGCTGTTTGCGTCCGTACAACCTCACCATCACCGTCACGCCACAGATCTTGTACGTCTTTCAGGTAATAACGTCTTTAGGTGATAACGTCTTTAGGTTACAACGTTTTTAGGTAATAACGTCTTTAGGTAATAACGTCTATCAACTGAAATCGTCTTCTAAGTAAATCGTCCTTTAAGGATAAAATGTCATTCAGGCATATACGTTTTTCTTTTAAAAAGTCGTTCTTAATTAAACTGCTTTCATGTAAAAAAAAATCCTGTCCATAATTCCAGATCCGTGCAAAAGTTGACGGCGTTGACCAGTACGGACCTCCCGTCTCTACAAGCTTTGAGTTGCTGGCACGTGGTGAGTAGTTCCAGTTGTATTGTAATGGGACGCCTACGTCATATCTTGGTAACAGGTATATTTTCTTAGTGACGTATATTTACTTGGTGACTAAGGTATATTTTCTTGGTGACTAATGTCACACAATGATCCTACATCCTACATGTTTTCACCCCCCCTCCCACACACACACACATTGATCCTACACCCTACGTTTCCCCCCTCCCACAGATTTCACACCCATCATGTTTCCCTCACCTCCACACATTGATCCTACACACTATATGTTCCCCCCCCCCACACACACATAGATCCTACACCCTACATGCCCCCCACACATAGATTCCCCGCCCATCATTCCCCCCCCCTCCACTATATGTTCCCCCCACACACACATAGATCCTACACCCTACATGCCCCCCACACATAGATTCCCCACCCATCATTCCCCCCCCTCCACAGATTTCACACCCATCATGTTTTCCCCCACCCCCACCCATAGATTCCCCACCCATCATGTTTTCCCCCACCCCCAGCGCCGGCCGAGATCGTCCAACTTCCTGTCCAGCGAGCCAACAGGGATGAGCACTCCCTCAACGACACGTCCTTCACGGTCAACGTCTGCACGAGCTGTCTGCTGGACAACAGCCACGGGGAGATTCTCGCATTCGGCATCCTGGTGTGTCAGCTGGAATTTTGTGAAGATGATGGTGAGTTGTTTCCCTTTCATTTCTGAATTTTGTCAATACTATAGTGAGTTATTTCCTTTTATGGCGGATCTCGGTGAATTCGGGGGTGTCGTATCCCCCCTTTCTTGATGGAATTGTATAAATCAGACGGTGGGTTATTTTATAGAGGCAGGTGAAGTATAGTTCGTCTGTTTCTGTGACCTCGTCATATGAAGGGATAGTGTGGTCTGCACTATGCCTAACTCGAGTTAAGTACTCAACAGAGCTGGGTGGACTCTGTGACTTTCTACTGACTTTAAACCCGGATTCGATCTCAGGACTTTATTGGTTAGAAGTCTAGTCCTCAGACGTGATTGACGAAATGATAATCTTTCTTTACTTCCAGCGTAAAAAAATCTGGCAGAAACTATTTTTAAAAAAACAACAAAAAAACAGACAACAACAACAATACATTGTGTTTGTTACGTTCCTTGAATACCGCCCCTAATCAAGTTAATTTCTTCATTTCTCGCTCGCGGCACCCCTCCCCTCCCCCACCTCCATCCCCAATATTTCCTATTTTGGCCGAAGTAAACAGACTAAGAAAGAAGCGACTACCCAGGTCATTGTACTGCGATGAATAAGATCGATGATGAAGTCTGTTTTTTCTACTTCACCCCAGATCAAGACAAGTTTAGAACATGGCCTGGTTCCTACCTGAGCATGAGTACGTGGAAGAGGGCAAAAGACAATCACTTTGAGCTGACCTACAGGGTCACAGACAAATCCTGGGAACAAAATGTCCGCAACTTAAGTCAGAGTAGGTTCTTAGTTTGATAGATTTGTCTGGAATATTCTGTACTTGGGGAATTTAATGACTAATTAAAATTTGATTTCGGACATACACTTTGTGTTATAGATTTACATGCAGCTTTCATTGGTAAACTTCTGATTACAATAAACGTTTTGAAAAAGAAGACTACATGTTAACAATCTTAGAATACTTCGAACACAAGAAAAATTTATTTTGTATTTTATATATATATATTATATATATATATATATATATATATATATATATATATATATATATATATATATATATATATATATATATATATATATATATATAAATAGTTCTAATAGGTTAATTTATGACTGATTACGACTAGAATTTAAAAACGAAACTAAGGAGCCGCTTCAAGTAGTTACTGGACTATTAAGATTTTTTTTTTAAATTCATGAGATTGGAAAAATGATAAAGAGTAAATATGCCTAAAAATAAAGGTTAAAATCAACTTATATAAAAAATAATATAAATATTGGTATGAGAATCAAGGAGACCAATCATCACGGTATTTTCTTTGTTTATTTAGGTGGGGTGGACGACGTCATGCTTGAGATCGGGAACGACAGCTCTTGCAACCGGAAGTCGGAGAAAGAATTCTGCAACGGTCCACTGCCGTCTGGGGCTTCTTTTAGGTCGGTCTCGGTCGTCTGCTACATCAGCTCTAAACCTGCTTCAAAATAGAACTAACGTAGTTAGGACTTCTTCTTCTTCGTTTTAAATATTAGTGTTGGAAGGGATCCCCTCCAGTTCAATTAACTACACGTGTCAACTGGTTATGTGCCATTGAGGCTATGGACTCCGCTTTCAGCTTGCTTTTCATTTTGGATTTGCTTCCATAGCCTTTGTCCAACCAAGAACAAGCTACAAGGCAGCGGTTGTTTGATTTTGGAGTTGTCTCTCCTAGAATAGTGGCTGTTCCAGCTAACGAGCCTCATATGCCCGAGGGTTCGAACTCGAAACTTTTCGCTTTAGCAACCGTAATATATCAAGTTTCTAGTTGAGGAGGAGTTGGTAGAAATACCTTACCCAGACGGTCAAAGATGCGCATGCGTGTCTCAGTGTTTGAAAGCACACAACGAAATGGTGAACAACAATGTTTACTTCAAAGCCCCCTCCTCTCAACCCATCTCCCCCCCCCCCGACCCCACCACGATATTGGTTTACAATTTCGTGTGGACATTAAAATTTTAAGCTGCTAATCACCTGCCTGCTTGAGACGACCTGATTAATTAAACGTGTAATGTTGGGTAATTATGTCGTGAAAACGGACCTAGGCTCAGCCATGTTTGAGGAGACGAGCCTGCTAAATCTCGATCTGAGTTGTTTTTCTCTTCCCACTAAATAAGAGGTTTTAGTGTTTTCTGCTCACTAAATGAGGGGTTCTAGAGTTACTGTCGAGGGCCGTTTGGGGATTTTTATTGTTGCGCAATGGACATCAGATATATACAAATCTATTAGTTTCGTAATGAATTTGGCAGGTCATTCGGTGCTAATTTGCTGATGAACTCGACAGTTCATTCAGTACTAAGCTGTTTAGGAAGCTTGCAACACATATCTAATTGCCTATTTGTACTCGCACATCGTTTAATACATTGCCAACGTGTAGAATGAAAGACATTTTATTGAATAGAAACACGTATCCTTGTTTCAGGCTGCGGTTGTTCTCTTGTACAGTAGCCGGTTGTTCTGTCAGTAAATATGCCGGGCCGTTTAGCACCTCAGGTATACACATTTATAACTTTCAGCACATCAGGTTTACAAATCATTGTTCAACCTTATAGCACATCATGTATACAAATAATTTTCAACATTTTAGCACCTCAGGTATACAAATAATTTTCAACATTTTAGCATATCGGGTATACACATTAAAGTTCAATCAATTAGCACATCAGGTATATAAATCACAGTTAAAAATTAATAAAAACTGGTTTAATTAACGAGATTAGGAAATCAACGTCTCCGATAGTTCCAATAAATTATTTTTTTAAAAATCTTGCCATCTCTTTTTTTTTCTGTAGCGTCCAAGACAGAGAAGTCGTCAGATCTGATCGTCATAGGAGGGGCAGGGGCGGGTATTGCCGTGGCCATCACTGTCCTAACAATTGTTATTGTTGTCAGGCTACGCCTCAAGCTCAGCAAGTAGGTCAAGATTACCTCCCTGGAATATTTGTGTGTAAAAAAAAACTAAACAAAAAATAAAACTATATATATATATATATATATATATATATATATATATATATATATATATATATATATATGTAAGGGGAGAACCGAGAGATGATCTTATTCAATCATCCGTGCACCTTTGTGTGGTGACAAAGGGGTTTACTAAACCTAAACAAACCAAACTAAACTAGACTAAGTAAACAAAAAAAATCAAAGTCAAGAGTAACTACGATATACTTTATTTGATCGTTAAATACCCCGCCTAAAAATTTAAAATAAAAGTTCCAAACTCAACGAAAACTAAACCCCAGATGTAGCTGTTATAAAGCTTAAGAAAACGTGACTATAATAAGACAAGGAAAATATGACTACAAAAATGGCTAAAAAATCGATTAAACTACTGCTTTAAAAAAACCTTACTAAAAAAACAACCGCAAAAAAACCCAGCCAAAATAGGCCGACTACAAACAACACTGTAACAAACAAAATCATTAGAGCCTATCTACTTCAATATTCAATACATGAATATAGCCTGTACAATACAACCATGGTTTTCTATAAAGCTAAAAGACAACTATCCTAGTTTAAGGTATCAGTAAAAAAAGAAAAATGTTTCACACTTACATTTCTAGAATTTGACACTCACACAAAATGTTTCAAGATTCCTATTTGACACAATACTGACTTCCAAAATTCTTGAGCACAAACTTAATTTTTGACGTTCTTAACGTGAGTAACTGTTGTTCTATTCTGAGTGAACCCCGTTTGGACCAAGTTCGAGTGCCAATATATAGTCTAGTCGGCCCATCCCTTATCATCTCCCCAGAGCAATAGGGTCGCGAGTTGGGCTCCGTACCATCCCTCGGCGTTCGAGATAACACCGGTCACTATGCCCTCATGCGTTTCACACCCGATAATTGACCGCTATAGATCTTCCCGTTGTCTCAAGGCTAACGATCGTGTCATACACCGCTCGAGCTAACGTACGGCCACACGGCACTCCCGCCGCGTTTCACACCTAACAACTGACCACCACAGGTCCCTACGCTGCTCGCGTCTAACTATCCGGCTCAGGCGATAATAAGTCCCTAAGGTCATCGGAATCGTGTCTGACGTCCACCTTCCGATCATGAGTCATGATCCAACCGTGACGTCCAGCGGCATGCCCGGACTCAACTTTAGACGTAAATCACCGCGGGTGTCTTCATCATTCCGTGTCACTCATGCACCTGCATAGAGCTCGTCGCCCTTAACGACCAGGGTGAGACGATAACATTTTAATTAAATTTTTAGATTTCCCTGGCCTGTTCATCCCCAATATCTTAGATTAACCCCTTGGGTTTCTGTAACTAGCACCTAGTCACCTTAGCCCCTTTAATGAACAACCAAGTTACTATTACATTTTGGAATAAACAGTAGTATATCAGCCCAAAAACTCAAGTTACTATTACATTTTAGGATTAACAGTAGTATACCAGCCCACATTCTTCCTCCGCAGAACGTTTACGGTCCCCGTAAACAGCTTAGTCATGACAACTAGGCCTCAATTGGATAAACCTTGTACTGAATGCCCTACTATCGCTGACACAGTCAATTCTAAACACGGTAAAGTCCACTAAAGGCAAAAACATCAATGAGCCCCTTAAGGTACATCAAAGAGTAACAGTTACCGGGATCAGATATACACACATACTTATCTTTAAAGGGTAGTTAACCAAAATGGACACATCCCGCCCTTACGGCTAAAAAAATATGTCATCATTAGAGATAAATAATCGTCAGTTCACAACCATAATTTTACTCTACATGGTCTGATATTGTATGTTAAATACTAATATCAACCAAGCCCTTCCAGTCATAAAATTATGTTACAGCAGGTTTCATCTAAAACAATGTACAATACAAGAAAATTATTTCTTTCTATTTACCCAAGCCTTTACGTCTTTAAGTCCGAACTGGTACAACTTACTTGTTTAAGGGCTACTACATCCTATTGAATAAACTCATGGTAACAAGACAAAAACAAAAAAAAAACATAGTAACGAGACAAATTGTACAGGTTCACATTCATCATAGTCTGCTAACATTAACAGATTAGAAGCCTAACTTATCTGGAAACTTTCTCGTTCGAGACGATCTCCTTGGGGTCGTGAGAGAAATGTTAGATGGTACTGATACTGGTGTTGGCGGTAACACTGATGGCACTACTTGACGTCTTCGACGGGGAGGGGGTATGGGCACTGCAGGGATCTCTATTTGATAATAACGTTCTGTATGGATGTCGTCTGCGTGTTTAACATCCGGCAAGGTTATTTCAGGAAGGGCAGGTACCGGAACCGCTTCAGCTGGAATATACTTTCTGATCTGAATACCTGACACTCTGCGAGTTATCCTTTCATCAAGTGACTGAATGGTGAAATAACCACCACTATCAGGTGGAACTGAGATCACAGTATAGGGCTCTGGACCAAACTTATCAGCTATTTTGTTTCTCCCTGTCGGGTGTTGCCTTAAGAGAACCAAATCTCCCACGTAAAGCTTCACCGACGGGACGTTAGACAGTTGTCTGTCACGTTGACAGACTTCATGTTGTAATTGACGAGCAGCGTGTTCATGCAGATCGGCGAGTCGTTGAAGATGCTGTTGCAAGTATTCTCCTGCACTGGTTAAGGCGGGCCTCGGAGAGCCCAAGAAGATGTCTAAAGGTAGTCGAGGTTCAACACCAAATAGTAGCTGGAAAGGTGAGTGACCAGTACTGGAATGTGGGGTACTGTTGTATATGAACACCAATTCCGGCAGGTGTTTAGGCCAGTTTCGTTTCTTGTCGTCAGGCAAGGTGCGGAGGAGGTCATGCATGGTGCGATTGAACCTCTCCGCCTGACCATTCCCTCGGGGGTTGTAAGGTGTTGTACGGGACTTTTCGATGCCATAGTGCCGACACAGCTCAGAGATGACGTCTGCCTCAAAGCACCGCCCTTGGTCAGAGTGCAGACGTCTAGGCACTCCATAGTGCACAATCCAGTTTTCCACCAGGACTCTGGCTACTGTCTTGGCAGTTTGGTCACGCGTCGGTATCGCCATGGTCCATTTAGTAAATATGTCCGTAAGGACCAGGACATCTTCCCTGCCGTCCGGCGCTGGTTCCAACGTTGTGAAATCTATAGCCACCACTTCGAGTGGAAGTGTGGCTATCAGATGTCCGGGAGGCTGGTGCACTTTCACTGCCGGTAGTTTAGCATGTTGACACCGGTCGCACTCCATACAGTGCTTACGGACATCATGCTCCATATTTGGCCAATAACAGCGACGCCGCAGAAGTTGAAGACAACGTTCCAGCCCCTGGTGGCCGTTGGACTCGTGTCCCAATCCTAAGGCTTGACGTCTGTACTTTTCAGGCAGAACCACTTGCATTATTGGGTCGCCCCCGGGTTCGATTATAGACCGGTACAGTACGCCATCCTTCAGGATAAGCCTCTTCTTTTGTCGCATTAGCGCTCGACAAGGCAAGGGTAGGCCGGTAGTTGTGTTTGATGTAGACTCCATCAGAGAGAGTACCGGGCCAATAACAGGATCCATGGCCTGCGCGGCCTGCATCTCGTGGTAAGATACCGAAGGAAAAGAGTAGATGGGTGTTGCTGGGATGGAATGGCAGAAGGTTGAGATCTGGTTGTGGGAGACTTCGTGTGGCACATTGGTGGATATTTTAACCGAGTATACCTCGACATATCGTTCTTCAATATCGTTCTCCTGTGGTACCTCTACAGGGTTGCGAGAAAGTGCGTCTGCATTGGCGTTCAGCTTTCCCGATCGGTACTGGATATCGAAGTTGAAAACGTCTAGGTCGGCCACCCAGCGTTGTTCGGTTGTGCTGATTTTTGCCGTTTTGATGTAACTTAGAGGATTATTGTCCGTATAAACAATAAACTTGGCCCCTAATAAATAACCCCTAAACTTTTCAGTCACGGCCCACTTTAGGGCTAACAGTTCCAGTTTTGTAGCGCTATAATTCTTCATGTTACGTTCACCAGGTCTTAGAGACCGACTGGCATAAGCGATGACTTTCAGACCGTCGCTTTGTCTCTGGCTTAACACAGCGCCTAATCCCTGGTAACTGGCATCTGTTTCTACGATAAAAGGCATAGAAAAATCAGGGTAACCTAGAACTGGAGAGCTGGTTAAGGCTGACTTCAAGTTGAAAAAGGCATGGTCTTGTTGTTCGCCCCAAAATTCAACAATAGACTGTCGTTTGTTCTTACTTTTGACATTGGCCAGAGTGACAACTTCGTGCAGAGGTTTAGCTATTGTGGCGAAGCCTTTTACAAACCGCCGATAGTATGACGCTAGTCCCAGGAATGATCGAAGTTCATTCAGGGCCGATGGAGTTGGCCAGTTGTTAACAGCCGAAACTTTCGCTGGATCAGTCTGGACACCCTTTTCAGAGACTATGTGCCCCAAGTATTGAACTGAAGCCGCACCAAATACACATTTATCAGGGTTCAGTTTAAGTCCTATCTGTCTTAATCTGCTCAAGACTTTGGCTAACCGTTCTAGATGTGCTTTAAAATCTGGGGAGTACACCAACAAGTCATCTAAGTATACCAGCATTATGTCCATGATGAAATCATTCATTACACCTTGCATGAGCCTAGAGAATGTTTGCACGGCTCCACATAATCCAAATGGCATTCTAGTCCAAGAATATAAACCGAATGGTGTGATGAAGGCTGTTTTTTCCTGATCATTTTCATCCATGGCTACCTGATGATAGCCACTGGCTAGGTCTAGAGTTGAAAAATAACGTGAACCTCCTAGCGCATCTAACGATTCTTCTATTCTGGGTAGGGGAAAAGCATCTTTTCTAGTGACATTGTTAAGCTTCCTATAATCACAGCATAATCTTATTTCACCATTCTTCTTTTTCACCACCACAATGGGAGCTGCGTAGGCACTAGTACTGGGCTTAATTACCCCTTTAGATGCAAGTTTTTCAATGTGTTCTTTGACCGCTCGGAACTCAGCTGGTGGAAGTCGACGATAGGGCTGAGCAACCGGTGTATCATCAATTAGAGGGATCTTGTGTTTAATTAAGTCAGTAAAACCTAAATCATCATCTGACCAAGCAAATACATCTTGAAATTGTCCAAGTAGAGAGTTCATAGCCGCTTGTTCTGCATGGTTCAAGGACGTGGATATCAATGATGTAAATGATACCTTATTCTCCACCTTGTGATTCACACTGCTAATGGTACTGGAGGTCTGAGGTGACGGCCTTACAGTGATTTCAGCCGCTACATGGTTGACTTGGATGTCTACTTCAGACGAAGACGTGAATGGATGGATAGTGCCGATACAGGTTTTAGGATGGATCGTTATGCTCTCGTCCGACAAGTTGACAATGCCGACACGGAATAGACCTCTCTCGGCAAATGTGATCGCTGGAACTAACAGTAAATTTGGGTTGAATGATACTGGCAGGGGTTGTACCATCAGGTCACAAGGTACACTTGGGTCACATCCAGTTGCACTAATCATTTGAATGGACTTGGCTGGGATGATGGAAGTAGAATTTAAAGTTCTTGCTCGCCCATCTTTCACCAGTTCCTTGGCAGGTTGTATAAACGAGGCGATGCCATTAACTTCTTTTAAAATGTTCATGCCTAACAGACACGGGGCAGTGGACTGCGAAGACGGCGAGTCCCTTATCACGAGGAAACCCTTGTCAGGTAAAACTTGTCCATTCAGCTCCACCGTGGCCAAAAAATATCCAATATACGGTACACTCAGTCCATTCGCTGCAGTCAACCGGAAACACTTTGATGGAACAATTTGCAGAGGACCCTGAAGATTATCTAGAAAAAAGCTTTCAGTCACCGTACTGACCTGAGACCCTGTGTCGACTGTTGCCAGAAGAGGTGACTGGTTAATGTTAATTTTTACCGTAGGACAAGCTCCAACCAGTTTCTTCCAGAATGACGAGTCGTCTGACCTCCCCCCAGTAGTTCGACTCTGCACTACTGTGGGAGTCTATTTTTTGGACAGTCCCTGGTAATGTGTGCCGGACTGTTACAGATGTAGCAGTTAAGTGACCTCCGGAAGTTCCGAAATCGTTTAGCAGGAGCTCGGGGTGGTTCCCTGGGCTGTGTAGAAAGTTTTGCTTGTGCTCGTTGCATTTCCTGCAGCTGTGTTGCCAGGTCACTGACCTGTTTAGTCAGAGTAAGGACGAGGCCTTCTAACTCTGTTGTGGCCTGGCTCGATGTGACGGCTGACGATCTGGCCTCAAAGGTCGTTGGCTGCTCGTCACCGCACCACCGGATAGCAGCATTTCTCAGCTCCAGGAATGTGGTACCGGGACTTTTGTACAGCTCTTCTCCCAGGTACCTGCGTAGGATCGGGTCTTGTAGATTCTCAACGAAGTGGTCCCTCAGGATTTGCTCATCCGTAAGGGACACTTTAAGGGCCTCCTGTCTCGCCGTCAGAGATTCAAACGCCTCATGTAGGCGATGTGAGTAAGCCCTCACTGACTCCGCCCTATGTTGGTGAATCTGTTGGAACGCTCCAGTAAGTTGTGACACACTTCTCTGCTCACCATAGATGGCTCGCAGTACTTTAAAGGTCTCCTCGGGGTTGTCTCTCACAACCTTGGGGTGGCACTTCAGCTCGGCGAGGACGGACTCCCCCAGGTGTGACCACAGGAAGTCCCGTCGCTCCTCATCGGACAGGTCTTTACGCACCTTCCACGCCCGGCTGACATCTCGGATGAAGCGCTCTACTTCATCAGCATGACCATCCCCATGGAATCTTCTGATGGTGACCTCTCTCTGGGGTACTATGATGACGGTGGCGGGGGGCTGTCTATCTTCGCCACTGTCGGCCATACTTAAGCTGGGTTTTTACTTTTCCTTTTTATTAAACTTACTCTAACTATTCTAACAACCTAGCCTAAATCTATACCCCTGGGCAAAAAATTAACCTAGTAAAAAAATAAAGTTTGGCTTGTCTAAGCACGGATCCCATATATATATATATATATATATATATATATATATATATATATATATATATATATATATATATATATATATATATATATATATATATATATATATATATATATATATATAAACTCTGGATTTCAAAACAAAATGTAAACAAAATTGAGGTGACGCACAAAAGCATATAATCCTTGGTGCAGCGTCCAAATGCGCCACGTAGATAGCATGTTGCACCCACGTAACAATATGTATTTACAACACACATGACATAAGCCCATACAGCATAATAGATCTCTTAAACTATTTAGAATTCACGACCCCGTGTATTATTAGTGTACGGAGATTTTTGTAAAAAATTAATCTCCTAATATAAGATTAATGTTTTAATGTTGTAATTAATCCTGCAGTGTTTTTGATATATCCAGGTCAAACAGGACAAAGAAGGGGAGTGAACTCTCTCAGGTGATTGCTCTCAAAGAGATGGACTCGTGTAAAGATGACGGGAAGTCAAAGTAGGGAACTACGTCAAATCCTAAAAATAGCCAAATCTGTGTTCGCCATTCTATGAATATTTCAATATAAATATTAGAGATGATTTATTTTTGTCTAAGAGTTCAACATTTAATTTTTTTAAAACAGGTTTTTTTTTTGTAAAAGACTACATTTATTTCAGGCCAATAAAAATCCGGGACTTTGATGAAACACTGTTGAAATTACATGCCGATGGCAACGCCTTGCTAAATCTGGAATACCAGGCAAGTCACGGCGTCATTTTAAAAAATCTGGCCACCAATCAATCAGTACAACTAGGTTAACAAGCCGTAGTGTCAATGATTGCTTTGTTTGTGTACCATATAATCGGTTGGACGTTAGCGCCACAAAGTGGGCTAAGTATCGTCTAGACGTCCAATTTAGAACTGGAATCTGAAAGCAGGGATATTCAAATTTTCTATTTTAAAAAATTAATCTTTATACAGATCGCAAATTTCCCGAACAATAAAAAATAAATTCTTTGTATAACCTACATCGGCCGATAGTTCAATTGTAGCCTATATAAGTTGTATTTAATATATTTTAAAGACATTTTAAAAATTCTTTGTTTAACACTATCTAAGAATAGGGCTGGTAAGTAGGTCACCAACCTCAATAAAACCTGCATGAGCCATAAAACTGGTTGGTGACCTGCTTACCAGCCCTATACCAAGCGGTACTATGCAGAATAGGTGTGGTACATTCACATAACCATATCGTGTAATTCTTTAGCATTAAGTAAGTCTATAAAAGAAGCAATAATATAGGCCTACACCAAACAACGAACCTGAAGTAACCAAAGCTTTAAGCTAGTCTAACTTAATGAAACGTTAACCGACTAGTTTTGACACGGACTATCTTATCTACCACCAGGAGCTGGACAAGTTAAGCCCCCTCTACCCAATGGACGTGGGTTCGGATCTCGACCACCGGGCTGATAATCGATGGACCAATATCGTACCTTGTGAGTTACCGCCCTTGTCTCATTATTCACATTGTCATTACATATCATTAATTAACATAAGTACCTGAACCTAAGGTAGATTGTTGTAATGTAGGGCGTACATCAAGCAGTAGTATTAAGCACATCTCTACTTGTTAGTATTGATACATATTTCTACTTGCCACTGTATTCAGACATGCTTCTATTTCCCACCATATTGAAATTTGCTTCTACTTGCCACTGTACTCATGCCTGACTCTACTCCCCACTATTTTAGTTGACCACAGCCGCGTCAAGTTGTTTGCTCGTGAAGGTAGTGGTCAACACGACTACATCAACGCCAACTACATAGCGGTGAGTCTCTAAGTTTCATCAGAGAGGATGTAACCAGAGCGCTTATGTCACTAGAAGCTTCTATACATCTAGGGGCAATAGCGTTGTCGCAGCTTGGACTATACTGACAACCAGCATCTATTCTCGTGCTTAAATATTAGATTACACCTCTTACAATTATCACTCAAGAAATATTAAGTACAAAATAAAGTTAAGGCGAATAAGTACATTAATTAGTTGTAGGAGGTATCAGTTTTGACAAGTGTTAGGTTCTTAGAATATTACGATGTAAGTTAAAAGTAAAGATTCCTATGGGGCAAGTGAAGTAGAGTTCACTTGTTTCTGTGACCTTGGCATATAAAGAGATAATGTGACCAGCACTTTCCCTAAAGGAAAGTTAGGTAGCCATCAGAGCTGGGTGGACTCAGCGACATTCTACTGATTTGAATGCCGGATTCGAACTCGAAACTTACAGGTTAGCAGTCCAGCTCTCTACCGCTAGGCCACTCCGTCGATGTAACTATTTAGTATTTATGTGATGAACTACGAGGCTTAAATTGCGGTATAAATGCAAGTAAAGTTGTCTTTAGATACGATTTATTAACTTGATAAGCTGCAAGTAAAGTTGCCTTTAGATACGATTTATTAACTTGATAAGCTGCAAGTAAAGTTGCCTTTAGATACGATTTATTAACTTGATAAGCTGCAAGTAAAGATGCCTTTAGATACGATTTATTAACTTGATATGCTGCAAGTAAAGTTGTCTTCAAGTACAATTTATTTACTTGATATGTTTTGCCAGGGCATGGATTCGAGCCGGGAGTACATAGCCACACAAGGACCGCTGACTAAAACAATTCCAGAATTCTGGAGGATGGTCTGGGAGCAAAAGTCTTCGGCCATAGTCATGTTGTCAGAGTTTGAAGCTATAGATAAGGTAACACAAATTATAGAGTCATCTTGTCAGGGTTTGAGCCTATAGATAAGGTAACACAAATATAAGTCAAAGGCCATCGTGTATTATGTTTACATTATTAAACAATCACAATTTTATATTATGTATATTATATATAACTACAAACACGATCGCATATAAATCGAGAGGTAAACGTATAGGAACAAAGATAAATCAAATATAAAATTTAATCCTTTGTAAGCTGTGAGTATAAAGGTTAAGTGAGTATTGCATATTTGGTAATTATTGTGTATCGAGAATAATTCTGTACAGCATGTTTATTGAGCTATATGTTATGAGAATGAATTAGAGGGTAGAGCATGGGTTTTGTAACGCTGGGCTAATGCTACGATCTACCCCCCCCCCCCACACACACACGACAGAGGACCCAGATGATGAGGGAGAAGGTCGCCCGTTACTACCCCGACGAGGAAGAGTCCAACTCCTACCAGTACGACCAGATAATGGTGTCAAGGACGGGCAAGCTGGACACTAAGGATTGGGAGATCAGGACCTTAAAGCTGACCCATTTGACGGTATGTTGGGTCACACACACAGACACACACAAACACACACACACAAAGCTGACCCATTTGACGGTATGTTGTTGTAGACACACTCACAGACACACACAAACACACACACATAAAGCTGACCCATTTGATGGTGAGCTGTTGCACACTCACAGACACACACAAGTACACACACAAACTATTAAACACACAAACATACGTACATACACATACACGCACGCACACACATACACAAAGCTGACCCATTTGACTGTATGTTGTTGTAGACACACACGCACAGACGTACACACACATGCACACACACGCACACATAAAGCTAACCCATTTGACGGTGAGTTGGGTCTCACACACCCACACCCACACGTACATACACATACTCACTCTCTCTCTCTCTCTCACACACACACGCACATAAAGTGGACCCATTTGACTGTAAGTTGGGTCAGACACACACAAACGTACACACACACACGCACACACATACACATAAGGCTGACCCATTTGACTGTATGTTGGGTCTCACACACACGCACATACACACACTCTCTCACACACACATGCACATAAAGCTGACCCATTTAACGGTGACTTTGGTCACACACAGACATACACATACACACGCGCACACATAAAGCTGACCCATTTAACATTGAGTTGGGTCACAATATATACAGACATACACTCACACATTAAGCATACCAATTTAACGGTGAGTTGGGTCACACAAACGCACGCACGCATGCGCGCACACACACACACACTCACACACTCACACACACACACACAAAGCTGACCCATTTGACGGTATGTTGTTGTAGACACACTCACAGACACACACAAACACACACACATAAAGCTGACCCATTTGATGGTGAGCTGTTGCACACTCACAGACACACACAAGTACACACACAAACTATTAAACACACAAACATACGTACATACACATACACGCACGCACACACATACACAAAGCTGACCCATTTGACTGTATGTTGTTGTAGACACACACGCACAGACGTACACACACATGCACACACACGCACACATAAAGCTAACCCATTTGACGGTGAGTTGGGTCTCACACACCCACACCCACACGTACATACACATACTCACTCTCTCTCTCTCACACACACACGCACATAAAGTGGACCCATTTGACTGTAAGTTGGGTCAGACACACACAAACGTACACACACACACGCACACACATACACATAAGGCTGACCCATTTGACTGTATGTTGGGTCTCACACACACGCACATACACACACTCTCTCACACACACATGCACATAAAGCTGACCCTTTTAACGGTGACTTTGGTCACACACAGACATACACATACACACGCGCACACATAAAGCTGACCCATTTAACATTGAGTTGGGTCACAACATATACAGACATACACTCACACATTAAGCATACCAATTTAACGGTGAGTTGGGTCACACAAACGCACGCACGCATGCGCGCACACACACACACTCACACACTCACACACACACACATAAAGCTGATCTATTTTAAGACACGAACAATTTCGATGTGTTTGGCTTTCTCAAGCCTTACATCAAGATATCAAGCTGAGTTTAGGGTTCGTCTAAAAATAGTGAAACGTGCCTGAGTCCACCCAGCTCAAATGGGTACCTGACTCACGTGATGGGAAGTAAAGTTGGCCGAGTATAGTGCTCACCACACTTTCCCTACAGTCGGGGTCACAGAAACATGTGAAATCTACCTCACCTGCATCGTGGGCTGGCAGGTTCGAAAGGGAAATGTACGTACTTTATAGGATTTGTCAAGTTTATTAGAAAAATAGCAAGTTGTTTTTAACATGTGTCTAGCACTTATAACAAGCTATTTTATGGTTTGCAGTTTTAACATCAAGCTAGCTAAATGATCTCACTTTACGAAGATTGTTGCAATAGCTTGTCTATTTAACCGTCATCTCTCACCCCTCAGGAAAGAAAAAATCGGTTCGTGAAACACTTTTTCTTCAAGTACTGGAGCGACCACGAGGCGAACATCAACCCCGTGGATCTGATCGATTTTGTCCGAGTGGTCAGGGCGGAGACCAGCGCACAGCCGACGTCACCTCTCATTGTGCACTGCAGGTAGGTTGACCTTCACCCCTCATTGTGCACTGCAGGTAGGTTGACCTTCACCCCTCATTGTGCACTGCAGGTAGGTTGACCTTCACCCCTCATTGTGCACTGCAGGTAGGTTGACCATCAACACGTGAAGTCATTAGATCATCATAGGTGTCGGCGTGGTCGAGTCGGTAAAGCTCATGGCTGCTAAACCGAAAAGTCTCGAGTTCGAACCACTCTTCTAGGAATCAAACAACTGCTGCCTTGTAGTTTGTTCTTGGTTGGACAAAGGCTATGGAAGCAAACCCAGAAAGAAAAGCAAGCTGAAATCGGAGTCAATGGCCTCAATGGCGCATAACCAGTTGACACGTATCCTTAATTGTGATGGATGCGTGGTCGAGTCAGCAAAAGCTCATGGTTGATAAATTGGAAGAAGTATCGAGTTCAAACCCTCTGGCAGAAAAGGCTCAAGAAGAAGAAGAAGAAGAGATTATCATCAAAAGAAGTTATAGGCTGGTAATTAGACCGTCAAAATAAGTAGGCTACAACCTGATGACTAGACCATCCTCACAGTAAGTTATAGTCTTGTAGCTATCAGTACAGAAAGTCAGCCAGATCCTGATAGAACATCAATATATAAGTAACAATTGGGTAGCTAGACCTTCAACTTATTAAAATAGCCAGCGCCTGCTTAGCGGACCATCAACAGAGCAATGAATGCATTGCTTGCCAATAGCGTATTATCGTTTTAATTAATGTCGCAAAATGCTAATGATTTCAATTGTTTTCAGTGCCGGTGTGGGAAGGACTGGAACCTACATCGCCGTGGATTACTTCAACAAGTACATCCAGAGCCTGAAGCTAAAACTGGAGAAAACCGACAAGCGAGTGCAGGAGAACTGGACAGTGGACATTTTTGGACGGGTCCTCAACATGCGAGACAAGAGGAGATTCATGGTCCAGTCCAAGGTGAGGGGGTCATTTGTATAGGGCTTTTAGTGTCGGTAGCTTATGTGGCTAGAGCCTATGGTAGCTAGTGTAGCCAGAACTTTTAGTGTCGGTAGCTTATGTAGCTAGAACATTTTTTGTCAGTAGATTGTGTAGTTAGAGCCTATGATAGCTTATGTAGCCAGAACTTTTAGGGTCGGTAGCTCATATAGCTAAAACTGGTGATATTAACTAGATTCTAGTCTAGTTTTTCAAATTTAAAAAAATAATTTCATAATTAATATTCTTAAAATAATTAAAACAAACTTGACTTTAATTAAATGACAATGAATTCATTAGAATAATTTATTGCTTAAAAATACGTCAGGATTTTGTTTTTCTGATTACTCTTTTAAGCGCTATAAACGTTTTCTGATCACTTTTCTGGGGTCTATCTACATTTTTCTGATAATTAGTCTATTAGTAAAATTAAATTCTGATAACATTTTTAGGAGCAGTAAAAATATTTTTGGTAACTTTCCCAGGCGCAGTACAATATTTCTGCTAACTTTTCTAGGCGCAGTAAACTAATTGTGCTAACTTTCCCAGGCGCAGTACATTTTCATATATGACGTCGTACAAGAGCTGTTGCGTCAGGCCTTTAAACCTAATCACCCCGGCAACACGACTCACGTTAGACACGAGAACGGTGACTCATCCTTCACTGACGCGGGTTCCAATGCGTCAGGACCAGCAAAAGAAGACGCCGTTTACGACGATGTTGGTAAGATTTCATCGACCGAGATTTTTACATAAATCAAAATTACGTTTAGGACACACATACACACACATCACGCATACACACACACAGACACACTCACGCACACACATACACACACACGCACACACACAAATACACACACACGCACGCACGCACACACACATACAGACATATATACAAACTATATTACTTGCTTGAAGTCGTTATTTTAGTAGAACATTTTAAAGTTGGCAACAGTACTCATTTTTCTGAAATTTGAGTAGAGTAGAAAATGTAGTTACTTGGAAAACTTAGTTTCGTTAGGACACCAAACTGTATTAGCTATAAACTATTTCATAGAAACTCGATTTTGCTTTTACTTATATCTTTATTGGTAGAAAACCCAGCACCCCCGCAACACACGAAACATAAAATAAACAAACACATAATATTTAGCTTGATCAATAATAAGGTGCAGAAATTGTTTTTTGACAGAATTTCAATAAATATTTGAGTGCAGCAATTATTTTTGACAGAGTCGCTTCAAGGTCAAATCACCTCAAGCGAGGAAATGCTAATTAGGATCTCCACGGGATCAAGCGACGTGTAGGAAAAAAAGTAATTATGCTGAAGGTCATTTGAATGTCACCTCCTACACAAGTGCAAGCCACGCCCATTAAAAAAGTCTTAATTACTCTTCCAAGTCACGTGGGGTTATTTCCGTGTTCGGAAAACTACTGCAGGTGCATCGATTCAGAAATTGTTCTTGATATTTTGCTCTCCGTTGAAAACTATAATAACTTATTCGTTGATTGACTTACTCTAAAAGACTGCGATCGTACTGAAAATAATACCAACTCTCTTACATTATGACTGCCTTAGTTGTTGTTTAGCCATACTCATTTTAAAAATGTTTTGGATATGTATAGTTCTTTATTTCTTTATGTCTTAGTTACATACGACACATTATATGTATGTATATATATATATATATATATATATATATATATATATATATATATATATATATATATAATATTCATGTTATTGAACCAAAGTTTGTTCATATTCTTAATATTGTTTTTATGACTTATATTATAGTGCTTGGTGCTAAATGCTTTTTATTCATACTATCAGAACGAAATATTTATATACGTTTATAAAGTTTATATGTATGTGGGTTTTTTTTCTTATGTAAGGCCACTCAACATTCTTATTATTTGGTATTTTCTGTATAGTCAACCAAACTGTTTTATTGTAAAGACATTCCAAAACTATTGGCCATTAAACACACAGACACAAACAAAAAAACATACACACAGACACACACACACTTATATATATATATATATATAATTATATATATGAATACAATACTATAAACACCTCACACATAATACACAAATAACTATAACTTCATAAAACTTAACAAAATTTTACTTTAGCGTAATTAAAAAGAAAAACCACATTAATAAAATATTCAAACTTATACCTAAGCACTAAGTACGTAAATGCATACATCACAAAACCGTACATATAGCTGCTACTAACACACACATACACACACACTTACACACTTTTATAATCATCAATACAAACACCAAACATAAAAACACTACCGTACACTGTAGGCCTACATCACACAACATACACACAAAAGTTATAAATAACCATCAGTTCCCATCCTTCGGCCACCATCTTGTTGAAATAATTAGTTGGAAACGAGAGATATCGGTGAGGTGTTTTTATCTGTTCATATTTTTAATTCCAAAATGGCCAACCTTAATGAGCTGATCAGCTAGCGGAGACAAGCTCAACATTTCAAGGGAAGTAATAACACGTTAGCGTTAGCTCCCTTGGTTTCGGTTGTCTTTAATTAGGTGGTTTTTGAAAGAAACAGAGCCGTTAAAACTAAATCAAAACAAAACAAACCTAGCTGACTTTACGAATTTTAGTTTAGGTTGTCTTAAGTTCAAATATGTAGATTACCACATTTAAATAGAAACCATTGGATAAAACAGTTTAAAAAAAATTGTATTGTTATTTATGCTAAGATAAATACACTCGCACGCACGCAACAACGCACATACAGTCACTTCAATATTTACATCAATATTTATGTTATGTTATGTTATGTTATATATATATATATATATATATATATATATATATATATATATATATATATATATATATAATTTTTGTGCGTGTGTGTGTGTGTGTGTGTTGAACTGTATTTTATGATAGTGTACATTGTTGTACAGTTTTATTAATTTACATATATTTATATGCATTTCTTATGTTATGTACATAAACATAATTCCAAGTATATATTTTAAAAGCACAATACAAAATATATTTACAACCGACTTAGCTTTATTTTATATGAAGAATATTTTATACAACCCTTGAGTTGTTTAAACCACCCTTTGAAAATACAATGTAAAGAAATATTTAATGGCATTGATTAGCTTGTAAAATTAGAGCTCAAGTTCTTTAAAAAAAAACTTCTACAAATCTTCTAGAGAAATGGTTTGAGGCTAAAGACAAACAACAGTTTTTTTGAGTTGGACAGAAGCTTAATATAATTAATATGAGCCACAGTCAGAAGTTATATATATATATATATATATATATATATATATATATATATATATATATATATATATATATATATATATATATATATATATATATATAAAACATGTGTGCTATATTCAGAATGAAATTAAATATGTGCTATAGTCAGAAGTTATATATAACACGAGTGCTATAGTTAGATAGAAGTGTATGTATAACGCGAGTTATCACCAAGCAACTTCTGATATTTTCCGACTAACAGAGAAATAAAATGTTCTGCACTGGCTTATTTCGTATGCTTACAAAAAGTTGTAAGTTTTATTTAGAGTTATGGTTAGAGCAAAAATTAGGATTTGGTTGAAATCTCCCAACGACGCCTCATCTGATATACCGACGTAAAGTGCAAAGACCCGTTTTGGGTTAGGGTTAGAGTGGAGCTAGACGACAAAAATATCACAATATATTGGGTTAGGGTTATACTGGAGCAAGATGACAAAAATATCACAATATATTGGGTTAGGGTTATACTGGAGCAAGATGAAAAATCACAATATATTGGGTTAGGGTTAGAGTGGAGCAAGATGACAAAAATATCACAATATATGTTTTTGTTGATGGTTTACACCAGATGCCCTAAACTGACCAGAATCAGCTTTCTCCGTCATGTCAGGTGATGACGTCATGGAGGCAAAGTTCAAGGCCGTATCACTGCGGGCGCGAATTGATCGCTGTTGTGTCCTAATCGCCGGCCACCCAGGGGTGCGATTAAACGACGGGATTAAACGCTCGGATTAAACGATGAGATTATCCCAGCATGCAGCAGTACACGTGACCTCCAGTTACCAGCTGATTTATTGGGTGAAGGTCAACATGGGATGGCTATCTTAACAACAAATACAAGGGATGACTAGTCTACTCACACTCTGAGTAGCCAGACCACAAATACAGGGGCTGACTAGTCTACTCACACATACAGGGGATGACTAGTCTACTCACTCTGTGGCTAGCCAGACCACACATACATGGGCTGACTAGTCTACTCACACTCTGAGTAGCCAGACCACAAATACAGGGGCTGACTAGTCTACTCACACATACAGGGGCTGGCTAGTCTACTCACACTGTGGCTAGCCAGACCACAAATACAAATGCTGGCTAGCATACTCACACTCTGACTAGCCAAATCACACATAAAGTGGCTGACTAGCCAGAGCACACATACAGTGGCTAGCTAGCCTACTCACACTGTGGCTGGCAAAAAATACAAAAATATTAAGTTAAATATTTACACAATATAAACATTTGTAAAACACTACCTAACAATTTTTGGGACGGAGTGGTCTAGCGGTAGAGATGTGGACTGCTAACCCGTACGTCTCGAGTTCGAATCCGGGTTCAAGTCAGTAGACAGTCCCTGAGTCCACCCAACTCTAATGGGTACCTAACTCACTTTAAGAAAGTAAAGGCGGCTGGACATAGTGCTTACCACACTATCTCTTCATATGTAGAGGTCACAGAACTCACCTTCCCTTCCCCTGTAGCCTGTCAGGTTTGAAAAGGGAACTTTACTTAATTACTTACACAAAAATATAAACTTAAATATATCATGATATAATAATTTGTAAACCACTACACAACAATATAAAGAGTGTAAAGCTATGCTGATGTATCGTATTTCGCAAGATTTACTACTCTAGTGAATGATTTGGCCAAATATAAATTTGATGAAAATGTATCATTACGATACAAAAAATGACGAGATTTTTCTTAATTGAACAAAGGATGAGCTTGATGAGATGGGGCGTTTTACCAGCAGACGCCAACACCAAAGCGAGGGCAACAACGTTTGGTGTTGCTAAAAATATCAGCTGTTTTTTTGTATTACCCGGTCATCGCCCTTCTTTCCCCCAACCCACTCACTCACCTTACAAACACACACACACACACACACACACACTCCACCCCACCCAACATACACACACGCACACACACATACACACATAAAAAACACACACATTGCTAAGAACCTAACACATTCGAGACGACCATCTTTTCTCCAGCAGAAAGCAATCGATATTTTTGGCCTCGCGGAGTTTGTACTTTAAAAGCTGAATTGGGCGAATAAATAATTTTTTTATTTCCTGTTATGTGGCGGCATGACGTTATTTTCGGTTCAGCGTTGGTGGCATTCAGCGAGTGGTGGTATTTTTTAATTTGTCGAGTGGTTTTTTTTTGGTCGAGTGGTTTTTAAAATTTGTCGAGTGGTTTTTTAAATTTGTCGAGTGGTTTTTTTTTAATCGTCGCATCTGCTGATTGTAGTCAAAAGGTTGTCGTTGGGTAGATAATTGTCCTTAGGTAGTTGGTTGTCAATGAGTTGCACATTAGATGGTTGGTTGTCACTGGCTGGTTGCCATTAGTTGGTTATCTTTAGATGTTTGGTTGTCCTATGGTAGTTGGTTGTTCCTAGGTGGTTGGTTGTCATAATTTGGTTGTCATTAGGTTGTTACTGAGTGACCCGGTGGTTAGCGAATCTTGGTTGTCACAAATTCACGACTTTTATCAAAGCGACCATTCATCATTAATAGGGCTGGTAAGTAGGTCACCAACCAGTTCTACGGCTCAATAAAACCCGCATGGGCCATAGAGCTGGTTGGTGACCTACTTACCAGTCCTATTAACTAGTTAAATCGAGAAATTAATTTCATTTTAGAACATTTATGAGCTTTCAGTTTTAGGTTAGGTTAGTATAGGTTAGGTTAGGTTAGGTTGGGGGGGGGGGGGGCTACGTAATGGTGCCGGGTGCGTAGGAGGAGAACCGCATCACAAACCCACGTGACCGGCTGATATTTTGGAACTACAGCTGGTGACACAAAAATCGCTTGGAGATATCGCACTCCATCCACGTCGTATTCCTGAACCAAATCACTGCTATACGCGAGAATCTCACCGACTAGTACGGCTGAAAAGTCTATTTTAAAAAAAAAATAATTTTCTCAGTCGGTTTACTTGCGTCATAGCGCCAGCAGTTTGTTGTGGTTTCTGTCTTTTTAATTGTCTTGTATCGAGTTCTAAAACGCTTGCTAACCTTTTAATAATATCTCTAATGAGCAACTATTTATTAATTATCTTAAATGTTTCATAATCTAATAAAATAAGTTTCTCATCCTTTTGAGACCGCTGGTAAGTTTGAGACCACTGGGCAGAATGAGACCACTGGTTAGTTTGAAACCACTGGGCTATGAGACCTCTGGGCTATGAGACCACTGGGCTATGAGACCACTGGGCTATGAGACCTCTGGGATATGAGACCACTGGGCAGTTTGAAACCACTGGGCTATGAGACCACTGGACTATGAGACCACTGGACTATGAGACCA